AGCAAGATCGAATTAAAACAAATATAGGTAAGATAGACAGTTATTTTTTATACAAAAATCAAATTATGTCAAGTATATACGTTAAAAAATCATGTTATATTAGTAAATATATTAAAAATATTTAAAAAAATAAATATTCTGCATAGTCGAGTTGTTGTTGTTTTTTTGAAAATGTAAATCTGTTCAATCGCAGAACATCTTATTATCTCTTACAAATAGAAGAAATCATTATTTTGTCAAGTTCTAAAACCTGTATTCAAAGACTGTGCAATAAAATTCTATTAATTCTAGGGTGACTTGCACTAATAGAGAAAACAAGTTCGTATTTTCTAATAATCTATTTTATTTACTAACGCCATAAAGTAAAGAAATGACAAAAAAAAAAATCGTCACTCTTTTTTCTCTCTCTTCGATTTGTCTATGTATGTATAAATTTTGAATAAATATTCATGAGTATGAGAATACTAAATGACTCTTATTGCTGATATTCTACTGTGTAATGTATACATACAGTTCTACTGTGTTGTTCATGTCTAGTAATAAAGAAATTCTTCACTGTGCTATTTTTTTTTTTTTTGCAAAAAAAAAGAACAAAAAGGTAACATTTATTCTTCCATATGACATGCATCATTTAGATGCACAGAGGATAACTTTTTTAATAAATACATTATATACGGATTCAATACACGAACACAAATGTTACCAAACGGACTCTTTTTTTTTTTTATTTGAACATGTATGTGTCATTGAAAATAATGGGAATAACTATTTTCAAAGTACGATCATAATCACTGATAGTTGTAAAAGAAAAGAAGAAATAAATATGTGTAACATTTTTCCTACATAAAACACATCCTTTTTTTATTTTGAATTTAAAATACAATAACCCATAGACTTGTACAAGAGAAAAAAAGAGATAAGTGAATTGTTATTTCATATGTATAGATTGAGGATATTTTATCAATGAATACATTCTTTTTAGACTTTAATCGAATATATCATGCAATAAAGAAGAAGAAAAAAAAAAACAATCTTGTTTTTTTCTGTTATTCATTTTTCTCATTCTCTCTCTCCCTCTGATGAACATATATTCATAGTATCTTTATTCTTAACTTCAATCTTCTCGTTAATGTCTCTTCTTTTTTTTTTTTTCTTTTTTGTCACGATCATCACCAAAGTATATATAAATATATATATATATACGAGTTTATCATTGATTTTTTTTCGAAATAAAACTCTTCTTGTTCTGTGTTATTCGCCATATCGTAGAATATATACAAAAGTACATAACACAAAATAAAAATAGAGACAAATAGATGTGTATGTATAATGAATGAGTAGAATTTTAGCAGGATATTTAGCATTTAAGCAGACGATGAGTATTTACGTGGTATATATTCAATGAAAATGAATTCAATTCATTTTCATTATTGATATCTTTCTTTTCTCTTTCTCTTTTATGCTTGTAGTAGTAGAGATCTATAGGTATCAGTTTGGTTCTTTTTTTTTTGTTGTTTATTCATAAACCAATAAAGAAGGGATATATATATATATAGAAAGAGAGAGAGAGGGAGAGAGAGTAAGATACAATATGTTGTACTATTTACTCTTTGCCATGCTATATATGAAGCCTTATTTGTATCATTTTTTTCCCTTTTCGAACAAAGCAAAATTTTTTAATAACTCGCGATTGAAAGTTATCATGAAAATGAAGTTTTCTTTTCTTTTTTGATTAATTTTGTTACACATATAACACATCGATCGACTATTATTAAAGAATGAATTAAATCAGTCAGTTTCAAAATGATTATTAAGGTGAAAACATTATTGTTTGTTCAATTAACGAATAGATCTATATATATATATATTTGTTGTTAGTTCGCATGCATAATGATATTTACTCTAATAATGTCTATTCTAGATAAATAACTTGTATTTTAATCAGTATAACAGCTAATATATAAACTCAATTCTAATTAAAACTTTTTATTATTATAATTAAAAACAGGTATGCAATTTTTTTATCATTTTATATTAAAAATAATGATGTTTTATTATTATAGATTACATCTTTACTCTCATATAAATGATCGTTTTGAATTAATGGCTACAAAAACAGGTTGCAGTTCAACATTAGCTGATTTTCATCAAATGATTAAACTATTTTCTAATCCAGATCAAGAAGAAGAAACAAATCCATTAGAAAATGATTTATCAAATGGTAATTCGACATCAACAACCAATCATGATGAAGATCATCCAAAAAGTTTTATTTCAACAAATGATCTTCTATTAGCTGGTGAAGATGACGACGATGAAGAAAATGATATTGGTGTGAATGAGACAAATGGAAAAAATATTGATAATAAAAAAATGACGCCGATACATCGTACATCTTCACCCTCATCAGATTCAACAATGTCTTCAGCTTCATCCATTTCTAATTCATCTTCACTTGTTAATGGTACCGGTTTTAAATTAGATCTACAAACAAGTAAACCAATACAACCACCAAAAATGTCAGCTGCCGCTGCTGCTGCACGTTTATCTCGTCTGGCTAATCAACGTATTGATTCAAATAAATTTTTAATATGTAGTGGTACAAATTCTTATAATACAATTCGTAAAACAAAACATGAAGTACGACGTTTTGCTCTTTATCTTGAAGATACATTTAATGAGCATATAGCTATTGATGCTTTAAAACCCGATCAATTGTGTTCATATTTAAAACATTATTTTCAAAATGTTCGAAAAGCCGATGGTAGTGAATATGAACCGGATACATTACGAAGTTTTATGTTATCAATTGAACGTTATTTAAAATCACGTAAATATTCATTTAATATTTTAGAAAGTCCAATATTTCAATCATGTCGCGAAGTTATACAAGAAAAACGTGATTCATGGGCTAAACCAACAAAATCAGTATGTAACAGTAAAGTAGAAGCATTTACATCACAACATGAAACATTATTAAGACAAATGAATATAATAACAAGAGATACACCCGAAGGACTATTATTAGAATTATTAATTAATAATTCTAAATATTTTGATCAACGAGGTTTTGAATCAACAATAAATCGTTCACTATTATGGGGTGATTTAGAATTAAAAACTGATCAAATTAATGGTGGTATTGATTATATTGAATATAAACGTACAATTAAAAGTGATGATAAATCATCATCTATTATTGAAAATATTCGTGCCTATGCTAATCAGGAGCAACCACAATTATGTCCTGTTGTTGCATTGCGTTTATTATCTTATCATCGTCCACAACAATGTACAAATGTTGATGCCTCATTCTATTTAGTACCACGCTTGAACTCTGATCAACGTGTTTGGTATAAAACAATTCGAGCTGGTAGACATCGATTAGATTTATTATTACAACAATCAATGCAAAAAGCTGGTATACAAGGAAAATTTAGTTGTATGAGTTTAAGAAAGGGTAAAATCAAAGGTTTACTATTGACTGATAATAATAATATACCAGTTACAGCAACAACTTCATCTGCAACTACGCCAGTCACTACATCAAAACAAAGACGAACATCATCAACGAAACAAGAAATTGTACAGGTAATAATGTCTAATTTTCTGATTATTATATTCAATTCAGATGATCATTTAATTTTTACTAGAGTTTAGACAAAAATGTATAAAAATAAAACTATTTTATTTTTCTCTAAAGGTTCCATCTCCATCTTTCACTATGGCAACAGCCACAACATCGACATCCACAACAACAATGATCACTTCACCTCATTCAACAATTGCCATTAATATCGAGCCAACAGCTTTCTTAATTGGAGCTGTTGCTAATGCCATAAACTCGTCAACATTTCAAAATGTTTCACAATGTTTTACAACGGCTATACAAACACAAGCACAAAATAATAATAAACGAACCTCATCATCAGCATCAGTATTGACAAATAAAAACGATCAATTACTCGATTTATCAGCAGCCAAAGGTAATACAAATAATCCCGATGATCAATATTATTTGACACAAAATGGAGTGATTAATTTGGCCAAAAAAATTAAACGTGAAAATGACACAAAAGTAAGCGAATTATCATTTAAGCTGGTGTATAACTTTCAACAATGTAATAGAATAGCGGCCTAAATCAAAAACTGAGCTCTTTTACGTTGTTCCCATATATCTTAGCTTCAACTTAAGATCGACCCGAGCTCCCTAACGCTAAATTTGACGGAGAAATCTATCCGACAGTGTTTATAGCGTAGGAAAACTTCGCTTTTGAGATATAGTGACGTTAGTTTATGACGAGACCTGCGCGCCGATCGGGAATTCGGCGACGGCGTGAAACAAAAATTTTCCGACCGGTGACGGCGGCGTAGTCCCTGGCGGCGCTGGACGCAGGTCTATTTATGACACACATTTTAGGGCTCTTAATAAAACTATTATAACTTTTGATCAAGGCATCGCTCGGTGCTGGGAGACGTCTCATTTAACTACCAATGTTTACTCTGCGAACTAGAGTCACTAGAATCTTTTTTGACTCCAACATTTCATTGAAATACTAGAATTTCAGAAAAATCTGGTTGTTAGTGCGTTTACAAGATTTGTTCAAAAATTCCAGAAACCTTTGATATTAGCACAAATAGTATGGATTCTAAGATATGAAAAAATCTATATTTCTGACCCACGGAGGAAAGGAACTTAAAGTTGATCGTGAGACCAAGGCTGTGAGACAAGAAGAATTAGCATAACTCTTAATCTATTTTTGTTAATAAAATGTTCTTCTTCCAGAATACATCTTTCATTAGTCAAATCGTTGTTTTTTCTCCCATTTCAGATCAATCAAAATGGAAATGATGGACATATTACCTCTCCAACGACAAATACTAACAATAGTTTATCGTCTCATTTAACCTCAATGTTACCCTCGCAACAACAAAATGATAATAGTCAACAAGAAATGAAATGTTCGGTAACACTGAATGATTTAGCTTTAATCGCTCATACTCTTGAACAACAACGTCCATCTCAACCAAAACGTAAAATAACCTCATCAGATGCATTTCACGCATTATATTCAGCTGCTCATATGAAAAGTACAAAACAATCAAAAATAAATATATTACGTCGATATTTAGAAGATACATTAGGTTTAGTTGAATTTTTAACATTATATGAATATTTAAGAAAAGATTCACAACTAAAATTACAAGGTACACCTATAGAACATTATGAACATGTATTACCAATATTTTTAACATTATTAATGCTTGAGAATACTGCTTAATAAATAATGAGCTTTTCTAAGTCATAAAATGAGTTCTGAAATTTTTAAATTGAGTTATTTCCAATCTAAGTCATTCCATACACGCGAGAATAATTTTTAATCATACCTCAATATCTAGTCGTTTGAATTTCAAGTATCTTTTATTTTATGTACTGTTTTTTTGTATCTATTACTTTTTCAACCTATTTTAGACTATTTTTAACTCCAAAAAAAAAATAAATTTTTAAAGATTTTCTTGTAAATTTTTCTCAAATACATACACAAACAAAAGATCTTTAATCATAAATGTGATCTCAATTGCTTTTATTTGCCTCATATTGCTTGATCTGATTAAATCATTCCGATTTGTTTTTCTTTTCACTGTTATTTCTCATTGTTGTTAGTTTGCTTGTTAGTATATGTGCTTTGTTTTTTCTTTTTTGTATCGATGTCTTTTTAGTCTCATTCAATTTTTTTTTTTCAAAGAAAATTGTATATATTTATCAAACACATTTTTTTTGTTCATGTACACCGTATACAGTGTAAAGAGAAAAAATTCGATACGTTAAATAATGGATGTATGTGTTGCTGTTTTTACAGCTTTCATAAACACGTTTCTGATCAATGTTGTAGTCATTTTCTCACTTTTTGTACATTGTTATGAGAATCAATTATATACATTTCTTTACCATAGCGACAAATGAAAACATATTTTATATTTTAAAATCAAGTCTATTAGAGATGTTATGATTTGAGATAATGATGGAATAGGTAGAAGAACCTTTGGCTCACTCTCAACTGTGATACAATCCGTATTTTATTAATGTATTCTCAGATGAGAATCGAGTTTTGGGCAGAAATATTTGTTTTTCATCTGAGATACAATTTCATAACTCACAGATTTATCAACTGACATACAAATCAAAAAAATGGTGTCTGTTCCTACTTAGAAATTTTACTTAGCTTCCTTAGAGTAAGAAGGTACATTCTCATCATTCTACGAGAATATTTAATAATTTCTTCATCCATCTGATTCCATAAATTATGTTGAAGATTAATTTCGAAATAATTCGTACTTCAAAAGTTCTATCATGTCATGCACAAGTCGGACTAAATTCGATATCTATGTACATTCTACATGTCTTGGAATGTGTGCCTTCAATCAGAACAAAGAGTGGGCATATTGTTCAGATGGATGACGTTTTGATTCGTAAGTCAGCTGATAAATCCATGAGTTATGAATTGTATCTTTGATGAAAAACAAATATTTCTGTTCAAAACTCGATTCTCATCTGAGATACTCTCAACAGCGATATATTAATAAAATACAGATTTTATCACAGCTGAGAGGCAACGGAATCTTTCGCTAAAGATGATTCGAACATTTGAAACATATGGGAGATGATACTCTCGTCGTTTCGTTTAGTATGAAATAGTATCATTTAATAATTTTTGTAAATACAGAAAAACTTACCATTGACAAATCCGATGACGGCCGATGCTGCATTTCTTCCATCCATTTCACCAATTTCAGTTGGTACCGAACTGCCTAGAAAGAAAAGAACAACGAGAAATAGCCAATATTCCTATTGCTAAATTAACATACATAGAATAATGTCCGCTCCACAATTTAAAGCACCGGCTAATATCATTAATGCAGAATTAATTGTTATACCCCATGTAGAAAGCAACATGAATATAAATAATGCACCAGCACTCAACAATGTTTCAACAGCAGCACCCAAACATCCTTCGTTATTAAAAAATCTAATTTTGTACAATGAAAAACGTAAATATATGATGTTTATTAAAATAGAAAATATTCTATACCGTTTCAATATAAAACCAATCGTTGCACTCCCAATCACTCCGCCAATATCAAACATTGTTGAAAACAAGCCAGCATCACGTTTTGAATAATGTAGCTAAATACAAGCAAAGAGATTAAACAATCTAATATTGTCTAAAAACTCTTACACTTTCTTCCAAATACATAGGCAACCACATGTAAATTGCATAACGAACAACTTTCAAACAAAATACACTCGCAGCTATTTCCAGTACCATTCTTAAAGTTAAATAAAAGAGTAAAATATAAATGGTACAATTTTACAGAGAGAAAAACGAGTGTCATTTGCCTTCACTAGTCATGATACTCTGTACTCATAGTTTTTATCATTAATATTTATTATTTAATTACTTACGGTGTTTTCCACACTTCAAGTACACTCATTCGCCGTTGTTCTTTCGATTGATTTACAATATCTAGGAATAATGAAATATTTCTAGTTATGTAAAACAAGTGAATAAATTGATATAAACTACCTTTTCCTGGTACAATCATTCTTAATTCGGATGGTTCACGAAACATGAATAAAACAGAAAAACCAGCGGCAATCTATAAAAATGTGATAAAATTAAGTAAGATAAACATATTCTTTAAAATAAACAAACGTACACAAAGGAGAGCCGGTCGAAAATGAACAAGTCGCCAGCCATCTTTTCCTTGAATATAAGTCTGAAATAATGACATAAACTAAATTCTTCACAAAACATTTTTCTGGAAAGAAATAATTCATCGTTACCGCTAATATTGTTCCTAATACACCACCAACAAATGGACATGTACCAAATAAACCAAATACAAAATTTCGTTGACTATCTGTCACCCATGAACCAAGACCTTTATTAGCTGCAGCCCAACATAATGACTAAAACACAAAAGATAATAAACCATGGCAAAAATGACTATTTTCACCTACTTGAAATGCACCATTTAAAAATAATAAAACAAGAAACGTTGAATATGCACTCCACCATCCAAATGTTAACTAAATTACAAATATGAATTTAATTTATTTCTGTTTCGCTCTGTTACTTGTTTCTCTACCATAGATACTCCAGCACCGATTAAACAATAACCAAATGTTCGTCGAGCACCGTATTTATCACCAATTGAACCAAAAAATGTCTGAAAAAAGAAATGGATCATTGTCTAGTTTAAAAGAAAACGGTCATTCAAATAATTACTTGTATAAGAGCATAAGGTAAAAATAATGCAGTATCAAGTAAACCCAATTGAAATTTTGAAAATGATAAATCATGTTCTAAATCGGATTTAATCTAAAATCAACATAAATTTGTTTAATAAACTATCTCAGTATATCAGATACACAAATACTTACCACACCAAGTGGTTTTCGTAGAAAATAAGTTAATGCATAAGAAAGCCAAGCAACGACAAATGAACTTACTAATCGTTGCTTTACGCTTAAATTACTCATCATTCTATTCCCTTTCCTTTTATCAACAACAACAACAAAACAAAGATCTAAAAAAGAAAATGTTCAAATGTGTATGTTTACGAACTTTTTAAAGTTCAAAATCCTATTGTACGAATTTTCTACAAATATTGACAAAAATATTGATATAATCCAGATTTCATTCACTTCTATTTCAAAAAAGAAAGGACGACAGTCAATATAGTGGAATCGATCTCCTCAAGATTTTAACGTTGAATGATAGCCTTATAACACCTGTATTTTAATGTACTATTTTTTAATCGTAAAAAGTTTACTATGAAAAAGGAGTCGGTTCGACCTTTTCTCGACTGAAAAGAGATGATCGAGTTGATCAAGAGCACATATGAATCTTTAAATAATATCTGTTGATTGTCTTGAAAAAAGCCATCATCAACAAAATGATAATGAAAAATTGTAATACACTGTTTACTGTAAACTTTAACAAAGTTCTGGTCTTCTTGAACAACTTGTTAAATAAATATTCTAAAAAAGTGACGATCCGTCAATAATCGTGAAATTTGTTATGAAACATAAAAGCTCTGATGGCGACTGAAATCAGACAAATAATTAACAATAATTACTGTTAATATCAGGATAAACTTCAATGGTGTAAATCAATGAAAACACAGATATTCATCTGCAGACAAAATGAGCATTTATTAGGTTCGAAGATATAAATCATCGGTATACGCATGAGAATAGTTGTTGAAGTGAGCTTAAATTAGACACTATTTGATAACAAAATTATTTCCATTCATCAGTCACACTTTTTACAATATTCTCAATATACGCCTTACGTGAGAAAACTAGATTCAGCTCTCAACACACATCAGCTGGAACATGAAACTGAAGGATATTCGATGCACAAATTACTGAAAATAGAATGAAATATCTTCAGAATACTCGAAATAGCAGATTTTTCGATGGTTACAAGTATTTCGTTGACTGCATATTTGTTTAATGTCAATAGCATCTTAGGTAGATAATTTAAAGAAAAAATAGGCGTGTTAGATGAGAAAGTTGATTTTCCTTAAAGCTTGAAACTCAAAACTTATGCATATTGAACAATGCTCTTACCGCGAGGTAAAAGTCTATCTACAGCACAACTAGAGTTTCAGAAAACAAGAAAGTTTCTATTTCAATATAAGAAAACGTTTATAGACAGACAGAAAATTGAAAATATTTTCAATATCATAATTGTATGCAAAACACTTTAGAATTATTCCAAGGAAAAAATGTTAAGAACGCCGCAACAGATGTTCACTTTGCATTCTCTTATTCTTTATGTATTTACGATCCATATTGATACTTGTTTTTATTTATTCAATTTTTTGACGAGAAAGGAACAGAAGATGGCAGTATACAGTTTCTGTTCGAACACTGTTGATTAAAAATACATTAGATCTGCGTTGTTTGCTAAATTTAAAGTTAGAAGTTAGATACAAGGCTAAGTGAAGTTTGTGGCGGCCCTGGTATCATCTATATAAAATTCGATGGTTTCAGTTAGGTTATACAAACATAAAATAAGAAAGAAAAATTAAACGATTGATAAGAACGAAACTAAAAGGAATCATCATAGGTAATATGCTATAGACTCAAGGTATACTACTCGTCAAACATACAAAATCCAATTAAAAGCTCTGTTTTAAATCGAAAATGTCTGTTTACTGTACATGAACAACATAAAATGAATGGATGGATAGTTCAAAGGTATCAAACTAAAAGGTTATTATACGCGGTCGAAATTAAATAAGAAGTTATTTTCAGACTATTTTTCTTTTCAATTTTCTACCTGTCTATAAACGTTCTCTTGTATTCATAATGGAAACTTTCTTGTTTTCTGAAACAATTCCAGTCATCTGTACATCGAAAGAAAAGATATACACTGACTTAGCATTGTTTCATGGATAACTCTCTGATATAAATAAGATTCGAGCTGAAACAGTTGACTCTCAGTCAAAAGGGAGAATAAAAAATAGAATTTGGATAAAAAATAAATAAAATGCATTAACTTCGTTTATTTGTTATGAGTATCAGAGTTGCCACCTATACAGATCTGAAAAGCTGATAAAAGAACTTGAAAAGTCGAAAAAAAGTTCAAAAGGCGGAAAATCTGGCAACTCTGATTCCGTATGCGTATTTTCACTCTTAATCATAATTGACGAAGATGTTCAATCGTCCCATTCGTTCTAGGATGCATTCGAAACAGATGAGATTTACAAAGTACTTAATGAAAATTCAATTATCTGAAACTAAAGTTCGACGCGTGACAGAAATAACAAACAAGCTGTTTCTCAATATTCCTCTCCGAGTAAACAAAATCATTTCTTTATTATTGTAAAAGAAATTATGGTATTTTATGAGATAACGAGCCACCGTAAACAGATTAGTAGAATCCCTACTCTGACTGGCTATACTTCATTTCAGGCGCAAAGCTTCACTGCGTCTATCCAAATGCCCCCCTCCTCTACGCTAATTATTCAAAGAACACAAATACTTCTCATATCGCTCAGAAAATTTCCAGAAATAGTGACTAGACACGTATAGAATTTTTTTCTCTTGTCACTCTATTCAGAAACAAAAACAAAATTGATCATTTCAAAGTCGTATGCGAATTTAATCGAAGTTTTATGCAGTTTCTGACAACTCAATACTAATACTGACTTACTACTTTTTCCTAATAAACAGGTGACTTACTTGACAATAATTAAAATATGCAATTGTTTAGATAAATGGTTTTCTGTTGTCTCTAACATATTCGCATCTCGAGTCTCATTTAACAAAGACGGAAAAAAGCTTTAGCTCGGATTTATCAAAGACTTAGACAAAAGAGATAAAGAAACGATAATGGACAGTAACTTAAAGACGAGAAAATATTTAAACACTTGTTTTCCTTCTCTTTGAGAAAAAACCAACAACACCAGTTAAGAAGAATAGTATTTGTAACCTTCTGTTAGCTAGGATAGAATAATTGCCAAAAGCTTGTTCAGAACTAAAGAACATTTGCGAACTGAATCTGAGAGAAATAAGCCTTTACGACTAAAACTCCATCGATTACAATTACTAACGCAAATACAGAAGGTGAGCTGAGGTTGAACAATGCATGATAGGTAACGAAAGCAGTGGTAATAAAAGTTATTAAATCGAGGAACTAATATTTTCTTTTACTACTTTTCACATATTTAAGCATATATTCCCATAGAAATCGTTCGATTTCCAGCAGAAATGTTTGCCTAGATTTTTACAGCGCTCTAGGATGAGAAAAGTTGAAATTAACTAACAAATACACTGTAAAAAAAGGTTACATTAAACATATTTCTTTTTTTAGGGATGTCACACTTTTACCATTGGCTTCAACTTCTTTAACGTTGAATGGAATGGCTTTACCGTGACATCAAGGAAAAAACGTTACTTTCAACTTTTGCAGTCACATTTGTTCTGTCGCGTCACGATATTACATTTTTCCCGTTTCAAACTACAGATTTTCAGAGTTATCACAATGCTAGACAGTGTTTCTAATGATTGGTGTAGTCCCTGCGAAAGCAAAGCAATCTTCCACTTTGGAAAAGTCCATTTCCACTCTGTTTTACACTACGAAAATGAATGAAAAAACCTTACAGACCACTTCGCTTTTACAAATTTATGCTTCACTTTTTCTGATCTCAACTAATTTCTCCGTGATGATTAATCTTATTGTCTTAATCCTTTTTATCACATCTGTCTGAATGTCAGACAAACGGGTTGATTTATTGTAGTTTTAAGCAAATACTAGAATGTCACAATGTTTATCTTTATCTTTCTGTGTTCCCTATTTCTTGAACAATGTTGAGGAAATTAAAGAAAAGTTATCCTTTAACAGTTCTTTTTATCGCTTTTGCTCTGAGGAAGTTCAAGACTAGCAGACGCCAGGATCGTTGAAGAGTTGCCAACACTCTGAAAGAATTAGATGATGGCAATGTAGGTTGCTCTTCTAATACAGAAAAAAAGTTGTCTGGTCCGATGAACAGTAACCACTCATTCCGGCTATGTAGTGTATCGTGAAATGTTCACCTCCGTTCCACAACATGGTATGTGGACTGAGGCTAAATGACTCATCCCTTCTATAACAGATTATGCACTTTGAATATGTGTCAGGTAAAATGAAATTCATTGGGTGAATCTATTAAATTAAATAAAGTTTTTAATCAGAAAAGTTTTGGCGTTTTGGGTTTTTTCTGGAAAGTAGTAGTTTTCGAGATAAATAAATTTTGCCGAAACGGCGGCGCTACTGTAAAGTGTAAAATGCATTTATTTTGAAAAATGCTGCTTTCCAGAAAAAACCAAAAACGCCAAAACTTTTCTAATTAAAAACTTTATTTAATTTGATAGATTCACCCAATGAATTTCATTTTACCTAACATATATGCATCCGCTAATGATTGCATTTTTTAATCGTACAACAATCCGTCAGTCCCCACACTAAATAGCTCTTTGCTTAATTTTAGTCATGTCAGCCATTTTGAATTTCTGTTGGTTAGCGCATAGAACCAGTTAAACCCGATCCCGTTCGTATGATAGTCTTCAGTGTTGAAATAGTAAATTGACCA